TATGTATTTTATGTTATTTTAGTATGAGTCTATTGATAGTACTAATGTATCGTCTTTTGTTGTTGTCTTGAGCCGAGGGTCTCCTGGAAACAGCCTCTCTGCCCCTCGGGGTAGGGATAAGGTCTGCGTACATATTACCCTCCCCAGACCCCACTTGTGGGATTATACTGGGTTGTTGTTGTTGTTGTTGTTGCATGTCCCCTCTCAGTTAGTACGTTATCATTCTCTATAATTTTTGTTGCTTTATATACACTTGTACATGTTTATTTACGTAGGTGTCTTGTCATAGCCTCATCGAGGTTAGGCTCGGCACATACATTGGGTCGGTTGTACTCATACTATATTTCTGCACTTCTTGTGAAGATTCTAGTAATAGTCCTTGTGGCACTCAGTAGCTCCCTACTCGGATTCAGTTGCACCAGAGATTTGAGGTATAGTTGCACGGTGTCCGCAGCCCTAAAGTCCCTTCCTTTATATCTTCACTGTTTTATTGAGTGTCGAAACAGTTGTATTTTATTCAGACCTTATTTGCAGCGATCTAGATGCCCGTGTATTTGTGACTCAAGTTTCTTGGATATTTAGATTTTTGTTGCTCGATTTTATTTAATCTACTTCAGACTTATATCGTTTTCCTCGTTAATATTTGGTTTTCGATTGTTATAATCGGTTAATTATTTGTTAGACGTCGGCTTGCCTGGTAAGTGGATGTTAGGCGCTATCATGACCCTGAAGTCGGGATTCCGAGTTGTGACAGAATCTTAAGTTCTGAAACATAAACTTGTTCTTTTAATTTCAGTGATTCAATGCCCAAATCTACTCCAAATGAGCTCAAATTTGAAATATAACTTTCCAATATCATAAAGAACAAATTTCAATTATTAAATTGTCAAAACAACAACAAGTTTAACAAACTCATTTTGCAATAGAAGAAGAAGAAGAAGAAGAAGAAGAAGAAGAAGAAGAAGAAGAAGAAGAAGAAGAAGAAGAAAGAAGAAGAAACTCTAAGCACAAAGAAGAAGAAAACGACATTAAAGAAGAAGAGAAAAGTGTACATATCTGAAATTATTTAAAATTTGGGTATCAATTAAACTTTTTTTTTAAAAATAGGTACAAATTCAATGGGTGGCCAAAACTGGACGCCACATGAAAAATTTACTTACTTATACTAAACTCATTGGTCCGTGTAATCCTGAATAAACTCACGCAAAGGAAGGGGGACATGGAGGTAGGGGTGAAAAACGGGTGGGTCGGATCGGATATGGACGAGTCGAAAATGGGTAATTCAAAAATGGATAAATTATCCGACTCGATTCATATTTAATACGGATAAAAAATGGGTTAACCAACGGATAATATAAATATCGATATTATCCATGGCTTTTTGAATATGATCACTTGGAGAATTACTATTCTCCCAAACTTGAGGAACCCCAATTTGAGACTTTACAAATGTAAAAGTTAAACTCATTTGTTACCAATTGGTTATTCATTTTATAAGTGGATAATATGGCTATTATCCATATTTGACCCATTTTTAAAAAAATTTATTATCCATCGATTTTTAATGGATAATATTGGTGGATAATTATTTTTTTTAACTATTTTTCCATTGCTACGCTCCCTCGTCTCATGTGACAAAGATCAACTACCATCCAACGGTTTCTTGCCAATAGCCAACCAAAAATAAAGAAAGCTATAACGTCCAAGCATGTCCACAACATAAAGTATGCAATAATATTGCAGGAAAAAGGAATTCACCTAAATAATTCCAAACAAATATAATTGAAAATTGAACATGTATAATGGGCTAATGGCCAGTGGAGCTCCTGACCTAATAAAAATTAACCAATCATACATGAGGCTGACAAGATTAAATTTTAGACTCTGGTTTCCATAGATAAAGTGCAGGTAATTGCCCACTCCTATATGTCTATATCTTTTATTTTGTATCCCCTTTATCCAATTGCCCATCTGATTCAGTTGGTTGATCAGTTGGCAGTTGCCCATGCTATCCTTGGATTTATCCTACAATTTATTGACAAGTGTTCTTTTGATTTTGAGGCTAGGGTTTATTTCTCTTTTTTTTTTTTTACAAATGGGATTTTGGAGTTCCTTCGATTCTATTTTCAAATTGTGGTCACTTTGATGTACTAGTTTCTTTTATCAATAGAAGTGATAAAAAGAGTAATAATATGCCAAACATGGAAAAATAACATATTCATTGGAACAACTAAGACAAGTTAAAGGGTATGATTGAGATGATGTTATGATAGAAATAATCAGGTATCATACGGAAGCTTACGAAGTATATCTTCAACGACGATATACTAAATAGCAAAAGAGAAATATATAAAAGAGATACAAACATTTAACATGGTCCGATCAAGTGACCTACATCCACAAGCAGAGATAACAATTCACTATATAAAAGAGAGTACAAAATATTGAGAGAACAACCTCACAAAGAGGCACACACAAGTGACAGGCTAACACTTGTCTAAAAAATTCTCTTCATAAACAGGACTCTTAAACAGCTTGTGACTACATTATAGATGCTGCTAAATGATAAAGGATAATCCTCAATTTATATAAATCCAAAACATTTTCCTCTAAGAAAAAGTACAAGCCAAATATAGAAGAATTATATTTTTCTTTTAGTAAAAGGTAAAATTAATTATGGTAAATATGTTGTCATTCCTTTAAGATATAGAAAAATCAAATATGATAAGAAAATCAGGACAAACACCTAATAAATAATCTCGGGTAATATAAGTAGAGCCTAGTTTATTTTTGTGTGCTGAAATGTGATAGTATAACATAACACATCTAGTGTACATATTTGATATCAATGCCAAGATGTCTAGGATATCAATACATGTAGAGATCTAGCAAAGATGGAAAAAGATAATGCTCTAGCATTCATAGAAGACACACTAGGAATAAGCTTAAAATTAAGTGTATTATCCTCTAGCATCAAAAGAACTTTGAACTTGTTTTTGATGATCTTGTCTTAAAATTAATTATTTGTTTGCTTTTTTTTTGTGGTCCATAATATTTAAATTTTTTTAGATATTAAGAAGGAATTAAATTTTTTTTCAAAGCTGCCTTTGGAGTAAAGAACCTAGGAATATTTGTTATATTTTTAATGAATAAATTAAGATTAATATGGTCAATTTTATTGTTAGTTAATACTAAAAGGTAAATTCTTTATAATGTGTAAAAACAACCAAAAAATCAATTAAAGTAGATCTGAAAGGAGTAATAGATGTGCATGTGCCTATAACATGCACACACACTTTTGTGTTGTTTTCTTATATGCGATGATAGAATTTAAAATCCGTCATTCAAGTAGTATAATAAGACTTTCTTAATACTCCATACGTTCACTCTTACTTGTTCACTATTTTAAAAATATATTGTCATTTTTTACTTGGCATTTTTACTATATCAAGAGAAGATAAATTTTTTTTCCAACTATACCCACAATATTAATTACTCATTTCAAATTATTTTCTTAAATTCATTAAAAATATATATCAATTAATATGGGTATCAAGGTAAATTATGCGCTTATTTATTATTTCTTAAAGGGTGTGTAAAGTTCATCGTGGATAAGTAAAAGTGAACGGAAGGAGTAGTCGTCTATGCCTAGGCTTCATAACTCGAAATTTTAATAATAAGCATTAATATTTTTAATGTTCATAATTTGGACGTTAATATAACAAAAGACTAGAATTAAATTAAATGCAAATAACAAGACCAAATTTAATTAGAAGAAAAATACAGAAAAAGACAGGATTTAGGACACACTTGTCCTAAATCCCAACTCCTATCGTAACTAACCCCTTATTATTTAATTTAATTTTTTTTTTGACTGGGACCTTTTTCTCTCTCCTCAAAAAAGAAAAAAGAAAGACAAAGCTGCTGCATAGTTTGCACACTTTGACTAAACAATAGGGAAATTACAATAATTGGCATTTCTTTACTTGACCATAAGGACAAATAAATAATAAGAATGTGTGTGTGGTCACTAAAGAAGAGAAAGACTTGCATACCAACCTGTACATGTGAATTATATTGGTGTCTTCTTTTTCTAATGTTTTTTTATATATATATTTTATATTAGTAATAATTAGAGCCAAAGGCAGGCTGATTATTTTGGTAAGATAATTAGTGGAGGGCCGTAGCCTTTAGGAACTCTGAAAAGTGGCAATTTAATTCAAACACGCATAATTAATAAAATCAATTACTCTTAATTAGGTCTTCGAAAAAGACTTCTGGAAAATGTCGGCTCTTTGCATTAATGGGATGAATAAAAGTTAAATTACTGATTCGTTATATGTTTGAACCATTCATATCCTTGCCTAGTAGATCATTTCATATTTGTCCTTATTTTAACGAGCTCCAGTATAATTTGAGTAAATTTCATGTGTTACAATAATTCGAAAAAAATATTCAAATTTATTCCTTACTTTTGAATATGATTTAAATTGTCCTTTATTGTATTTTAGTTTGGAGCACTATTAGAATTAAAGACAAATGCGAGAGGACTTAGTAACGACAGCGGGCATAAATGAGCCCAAAATATAACAAATGATAAAATTAAATATTTCGTATAAGAAAAGGGTATTGCTAACAATTTTTTTCTAGATTCTACAATTTTAGAGGATCGGGGAATGAAATATGGGAAAAGGAACAATGAAAATTAAATGCACTTATTGTGACACACACAACATACCCAATATTATTTTATATCGTGATAGGGAAAGATAGTGTATACGCAAACCGTCTACCAAAATGCACTTACTGTGAGAGGACATAAAATTTTGATAGGTCTCTTTCACCTACGAGCATTTGTTGGAAGAGTTGCTCATGTTAACGTAAACATTCTTTTGATTCTAAGAAAAACTCAACCATTTTAACTAATTTTCTAGAACCGAATAAAAAAGTAGAAATGACAAATTCAAAAAAATTCGTTTCCATTTGAAGCAGTCTCAATATATAATGAATCAATCCACTTAGTTTGACTCAGTCCGGTCATAATTCACATCCTTTCATGTATTCAAATATTACCTCCTATACAAATCAAATACATGTAAAAGATATCTCCCTTTTGGCAATTATTCCCAAAAATAAACACCAAAATTACACAAATATTAAAAAAGAAAAGGAAAATCCTAATTCAAACTACTCTCATACGTGAGCACATGTACCATGTCCCCACTTCATCGAAAGATAAATAATGTTTTTCTAATTTGTACATAAATTAGAGGGTTAGAATTGGGTAATTGGAAAACCCAACCCGACCCGATCAATAGGAATAAGTGACCCGGTTGATGACCCGACCTTTGAGCATAGAATTGTAGAGGGCGGCCCTATTAGCTGGCATTTCTTGCACTTTCCCACTCTTCTTTAATGCATTTGAATCCGAATTAGAAGAAGATGAAGCAACTTCATGTCCATTTCCATGGCTAAAATTATTATTACAATGAAGTTTTCTGTATTCTTCACTATTCCCACTTGGCTCCACCACATCTTCTGCAAATTTCACTCTCTTCTTCTTTTTCTCCTTTTTCTTCCCATCTACACAAATAAAAAAAACAAAAAAAATCCGTTAACGTATGAATTTAACCCATATACATTGAGTCAGTATAAAATTCTTTTTTACAATGCTTATATATTTTAATCTTATCATTTTATATAGTGATATTTGACTGAACATGAAATTTAAGAAAGAAAGAAACACAGGCTTTTGGCACATACTAAAACTACCCTTTAAACTTATAGTTTGAAACATATCATAACCTTTTCTATAGCCATGAGAGCATTTCATTAAGAATAAAACGAGAATTTTTAAAATTAAAGAATTTTTGAATTATTACGGGGGCACATGTTTTTTCTTTTCTTTCTGAAATAGATAAAAAGGAAAAAGTGTCCTCTAAAATGAAACAGACAGAGTAACTAAAAAAGACGATAATACATACCTGTGGAGATACAAGATCGAGGATGATGGAGAATTGGATTGAAGGAGAATTGATCTGCAGATTTTTGAAGTTTAAGAGCAGCAAAAAGGATCATTGTCCCAGAAACTGCCATGGCTGTAGCTAATACCATACCTTGAGAAGTCAAAATAGGAGACATGGTTGTAGTTGAAAGATGAAGAAGAATTAGAAAACCAAGAAACTATAGAAAGAAGAGAAGAAATGGTGGGGCTTGGTGTTGGAAATTGAGAGATATCAATGGAGTCAATATAAATAGTGTAAAGTTTTGGAATTTTTGAATTAATTAATCATGTAGCTCAATAAAGTAATGAGGAAGAAGGATTAATTATTGATATTTAATTGCTTGGTTTGTTGGACTAATCTTTTTTTTTTGTAGACTATTTGATTATGGCAAGGGCCAAAAAGCCGAATGAAAATGAATGAATATGTAAGCAATAGCATATGGAATTCCAAATTTATAGGCTTTTGGGAAGAACAGAGGGTAGTATAGCATTATTTGTCCTTCCTCGTTATTTCAGGTGATGCTCCAAATTCAAAAATAAAAAGACTGCAAAATTAATTCTTATATGTAGTATAATGATTTATAATAGAAATTAATAAAAAAATAATTTAAATATAATAAAAAATTAATATAATTCAAATTATCACATGAGACATTAAACTTGATTAGTCAAATGATTTAACAATTTAAGATTTTGTAGAAATATATAACTACATATTTCTAAGAACTTTGCGGAATATTTAAGAATATTATAAATTCATAAAAAACTGTAATATAAATTAAAGCAGGTGAAATGTCTTCTTGTTGATCGTGCACAATAAGTCAATGCCATGTTTGAAATTACAGTGTGATGTATTGCTTGCTAAACAAGATCTTGTTTTTTCTTAATTTATTATTCTTTTCTCTTGTTTATTTTTTTTAATTTCTTTTTGCTTTAAAAAGAGACAGTCTCATACATAAACTCCTATTATGTGTGTGATTCGAAAAAAGATAGTCGTAATAGATCTATTATATTGTTGATGAATTCTCATTTAGATGTAGGAGAAAAGCATGTGCTCTTCAAGAGCCTTAAATGAAATATTTGTTCATTTCCTGCAGATTGTACCTTTAATTATGATGTGAATTAATTCATTTCTTAATTATGCAAACAAGATACGGTATGCATTGATTTAACAAATATAAGAAAATAATGATCTTAAAATTGAAGTTAAAATTAATTGTACATATGTAGGTAATCAAGGGCGGTTCAATATATTTAGTGGCCTAAAGCCAAGTTTTAATAAGAGGCCTTATACTTTTCTTATATTAGAATTTATATATCTATATACCCACATATGCAAAAACAAGTTAGTGTTGTTATTTTTGTGTACTTATTATTTATAGTATAATAATCTTAAATGATATAAAGCCTCTAACTTCACATAATAATATTATTTTTATATTAACAAGGCATAATCTAAATAAGTAAGATGTTAGGCATATATTTATAATATTTTTTCCTTGATATTGTTATAAAAAATTATATTTACTAATATGAAAATTTAAGTATTTTAATTCAAAGTTCTAAAATATATTTATTGTTAAAGATTAGACAATCTTTCTTTCTTTCTTTCCTTTTTTACAAAATCTTTGTATATTTTTATTTTTTACTCTAATTTTAATATTGTCTTTCTTTTTTTTTACAAAATCTTTAATATTGTCTAAATTTAAAAAATTATAAAATCTACTTTTAAACATTTCTGGGGCCTCAAAATCTTAAGGGATTAAATCAAGGGTTTACTAGTTTCCCTCTTGATTCACCCATCCACAACTCACGCTCCCAATCAAATTTTATATACTCAATTAAGATACGACAACAATAACAAGAACATTAAAGGCATTGAATGCGTCTGTGATGACCCAAAAGGTCATCACTTGTTTTGGAAATAAATTGTGTTCCGAGACCTTAAAAACTTCTTTTTATCTCACCTCGATTTGTGTGCGCAATCTGGACGTGTCTCCGGAAAGCTATTATGTCAAAATCTGTAAAAAGTGATAAATTTTGCTTTTAAAATGAATTTAAGTTGACTTTGGTCAACATTCTTGGTAAACGGGCCTGGAACCGTGATCAGACGGTCTCGTAGGGTCCGTAGTAAAATTTGGGACTTGGGCATATGCCTGGAATCGAATTCCGAGGTCCCAAGCCCGAGAAATGAATTTTTAAAGAAAATTATTTTCTGGAATATATATGAGTTTTTGGAAATAAAATATATTTGAATTTGATAGTATCGGGCCCGTATTTTGGTTCTAGAGCCCAGTGCAGGTTTTATATGGGATTTAGGTTGAGCCTATAAAATTTGGTAAGAAACGGACTTGATATGACGTGAATCGAACCATCGGTTGTTAAAATTGGAACTTAAGAGTTCATGACATTTTTCTTTGATTTTGATGCTAAATTCATAGTTATTGGTGTTATTTTGATGATTTGATCGTACGAGCAAGTCCGCATGATGTTTTTGGACTTGCGTACATGTTTGGTTTGGAGCCCCGAGGGCTCGTGTGAGTTTTGGATAGGCCACGGAGTGGATTGAACTTAGGAAGTTGCAGTTTTCAGCTGGTATGTGTTGTAGGCCCTGATCTCGCAATTGCGAGGTCAGGTGTCGCAATTGTGAGCCTATCAGGCTTGGGAATTGCGAGGGTCACTTCGCAATTCCGAAGTATGCCCTGGCCAGCCTTTCTCACAATTGCGAGCAATTCTTCGCAAATGCGAATAACCCAAATATCCCAGCCATCACAAATGCGACATCCCTTTCACAAATGCGAGTTCGCAAATGCGAAGATAGCAGGTTCCTTAAAGAGGTCGCAATTGCGACATCTGCAACCTGCTAAATCGTAACTTAGACGCATTTTCAGCCATTTTTCAAACATTTTCAAAACCCAAACACCTTAGGGCGATTTTTCAAAGACAAGTGTCACACCTCCTTTTTACACAACATCCCGGAGAAGGACATATGTATAGAGAGTTTTTCCAATCAAAGGACAACCGAAACGGGATTCTTTATTAATTTCAGAGTCGCCACTTGAGAATTTTATGGCGTCCCAAGTCACCAGTTTTAATCCCGAATCGAGGAAAATATGACTCCGTTTAACATTCCGCGAACCAGAAATTCGAGTAAGGAATTCTATTAATCCGGGAGAAGGTGTTAGGCACTCCCGAATTCCGTGGTTCTAGCACGGTTGCTTAATAATTTATACTTGGCCTAATTATCTTCATTTACTATATATATATTTTTGAACTTATTGCATAGTTTTAAACTTTGATTACGCTTTTAGTTAGACTGTTTTTTTAGAATTGTCTTGAAACGAATCACGCGTACGTATATTCATTTTTTTATGTAAAGAATCATGTCACGCGTACGTGTACACAAATGAAATTAATAATATATTTTTATTTTATATTTTAAAAAAAAATGAATTTGGCCGAAGTTGTGCGTGCTTAAAACAAAACTACGAACATTTGTCACTCTTGTATGATTAAATAGTGAGTTGCGCACCTCGGACTATATGAGATAAATTAATTTAATAACCTCCGAAAACCCCCTTTTTATTAAGAAGATTTGCTCAAAGTTGCGTGAACGCATACTCCGAATAGTCTTTAGAAATGTAATCATGTCACGCGAACGTATCCACAACCATGACGGTATATTAAACGTGCCTAAAGCAACTAACGCGTTATTAACCTTGCGAGAGCCCTGAAAATTAGCTAAATGACACGCTTCAAATTTTAAGTATTTTTGAGAGAAATGATTATATGAGAGCCACGCATTTGTCATTTTTATTTGGCGCGGCGTATCACGATTATAAAAGAGTTAGTATTAATAATCTGAGGGCCATAGATTATTTCAACAAAATGGCAAATCTCAATTTCTAAAGAGTTAAAACTAATTAAATGGGGGCCATGAGTTTTGGGATATTATCCAACATGACACCTCGAGTTGTTTTACTCAGCCAAAACGAACTAAGGATGTTCATGAGTGACTATTTTTGCTAAATGGGAAAAACATGCTAGCTTTATGACTTGATTGCCTTACCAATGCCTATACGAAATGGCTCGAACCAATAGATCATATTTGTTTTAATCTTAAACCAATTTTGTATCTTCCTAAGATAACAAATGACCTAACCAAAGTAAACGTTAACCAAGCAACCCATCGATTAGTAAAGCAAAGGGATTCAATTTAACGAAATTTACATTTTTCAAACAACTTTTTTTTAACTAAAGATAGACGCTACATGATATTGTAGCAAAAATTATGAATATCAATAAATGATTAAATAAATACAGAGGAGGCAAATTGTATGTATTCCATTCTTACGTACAAAGAGAACAATCCAAATCCGTCGATTATTGCTGGCTTAAATGATTACTAGTTTATATCTAAAACCCTTAAAGAGAATAGCCATCGAAGTAGCTTAAACAAACATATTTCAACCAAATTTCGAAATTACGATAAACCCATTGCAGTAGAACTGGAGGATCGTAATTCAACATACTTCAGATTTCCATTCAAACTTAAAAGCCAAACGAATCAAACCTAATAATGGTTTGATTATGAAAGC